ATGCTGACTCTGTAAACCGCTTAGAGAGGGCTGAAAGCCCTATGAAGCGGTATATAAGTCTAACTGCTATTGCTATTGCTATTGCTATTGCAAGGAATGGAATGGCAGTCCCACAAAACCTACACATTTTTGGAGACAAACTAATAGGCTGTAGGATTATATCCTTACTGTCAGATTGTAGAAGACTGTAGGCAAAAGGTATCTTTGCTTCTAACATGTGGAGAGGAATCTCAGTTCATTATCCGCTATCAGAATACTGCAGAGATCTTATTTCTCAATTCTATTCTGGCATGAAACTATCAGTACCATTTCAAAAAGAAAATAACTATATTTAAGTTTGCATCTTATTTCCATTCCCAATCAAAAAGCAGTGTCAAAGCGTAGGCTTTCAATACTAGGTCCTTTGATCTAGTCTTTTAAATCTTCCTTTCAAATATAGTTTTGATGTAGACATAAACACTTTATAGAAAACAAGATTTTTTTTTTAAAGAAGTAGAATAGAAAGAGTCTCTGGGAAGCCATTCAATTTCATTTGCTAAAAATGACCATGTTTTAAACAGCAGTGGGAAATCAGATAATCTTGAGCAATAAGTCTGAATGACATTGCAAATTTAGCATTTTTGGATCAGCAAGAGAAAGAGGCGCCTTACAGACTCTCTTCAATCCTCTGAAGAATAATATTCCCTAAATCCGATAGCGGGAGCCTTTTTAATGAGCAAACAACAACTCAACATCTTATAAAAAACTGTCTTTTCAAATAGAGTAGTATTTCCCCATTTCGACAGATTTAAGATGTGTGAGCGCCAATTCTAAGGATTTGCTGTTTGGGGAATTCTGGGAGTTGAAGTCCACATATCTTAAAGCTGCCTAGGCTGAGAAATACTGAAATAGAGAGAAAGGCTAATTTTTCATGCTGTATATTTCTATGGAGGACTCCAATCTTGGCTCGCTTTGAACGGCTCCAATCTTGGCACGCTACTTGAAGGAAATAAACCCTTCAAAGGTCTATATTGCCAGATTTAATTAGTTTTTTCTATATACATTATTTTAATATATATATTTGAGAGCCAGTTTGGTGTATTGGTTAAGGCACCAGGCTGGAAAAATACTGCAAATGGCAGTCCCAACTTAGCCATGCCAGCAGCTGGCTCAGGAACTCACCCCTGTGCAGAAAATAGGAGGGAGATGTGTTGGATATGTTCATCACCCTGAGTTCTTTGGAAAAATAATAGAAGGTGAAGTACAGATTAATAGGACGCGGTGGCTAAGATGCTGAGCTTGTCGATCAGAAAGGTCGGCGGTTCAGCNGCTGGAGAATTCTGGGAGTTGAAGTCCACAAGTCTTAAAGTTGCCAAGTTGGGGAACCACTGCTCTAAAGAAAGCAATAAGGCTGGGAATGATGAAAGAAAGAGAAGAAAGGAATAACCAGTTGTTGGACCTGAAGGATCATCTCCAAGATCTTTCTGTGGCGTTGATAAGAGTTGATGCTGCCTTTACGGCTCATCACCATCATCACCATCATCCATCACCATTATCATCAATCATCATCATCCAAATACTTATTTAGTACTTGAACATTATGACTACTCCATGCCAGGTTATAAAAATAGTTCCTAGCACAAAATTATTGGTCGAAAACGCTCTTTAGCAAAAATCTTCAAGTAGTAAATATTTCACATCAGCCAAAGAGACGTTCCTAGCTCAAATCAAGAGATTGATATTTGTCTTTTTGTACATAATGTTATTAAAAAGTTTAAACGAGATAAAAACTAAAACAAACTGATATAAAGTAAGAAAAAAGAAAAAGAAAAAAATCAAAGGAAAAAAGTGCAAAAAAAGTTGAAGAAAAAGTAGAAAGGAAAGATAAAATATAAAAGAAGTAACTTCTGATATTCTTTGCAGCAATTATAAGTATAAATTATCTTTTAACTTCTCCCCCCTTTCTCTCTCTCTCGTTACAATATATTTCTAATTATGAATAAGAGATTGATATTTGTCTTAATAGCTGATAGTTTGAACTTTATCAGATTTCCCACTAACCGTTCCTTTTATTCTTCTTCATTCCATTCAATATGAAATATTTATAAATAGAAGAATTGGCACTAGGCACCCGGGAGCAGTGTTGAAAAATCCTAGTTATTCAACACGTATGCAAAGCCAGAAATTTAGAAGGGATTTCTTATTGAAGATGACTTTCAGAATTCTGTCCAAGGCTAAATTATCAAGCATACAGTATCATATTATGAGTGGGAAGATCAAAGGATTCATCTTGAAAGCCACTGATGAATGGATTCAAAAGCATTCCTTTCTTAATATTTTCCATTCTTTATCTAATATTCTAATATTATCTAATATTCCTAATAATCCGTATTCCTTAATAATCTTCCACAGCACGTCGGTGGATTTTGAATGTTTAGCAAACATTAAATAAAAGTTAATGGATATTTTCTGAATAATGCTGAAAGAAATCGTCACGAATGGAGAGGGGGGAAAATCAAATCATTGTTGGATAAACCACTTCTGTAATAATTCATACTGCTGAAGAAAAATACTGAAATCTCATCCTGCATAAAAAAAGCGTGGTACTATAAACCCAAAGAGAAAGCAGAAGCTACTCAGAGCACTGAATATATCACTAGGGAATGAGATTTGATCAAGCCACTTGAAAGCATAGAGTGTCTTTATTTGCCCCATTGCTGTAATATATAAAAAAAATCTCTTTCCTCAGCTTGAAAACTCTCTTGAGGACCTCTCCCTTCATCTATTTCCAAACAGAAAGGCAATATTTTTTATTGCAAAATTGAATTTGGATCAGTTACCAGGACCAGAAATATACTCTTCCAAGCTTTCAGACTGGAGTCCATCCTCAGGGAATTTCTCTACTGGAATACGTGATTTGGGCTGTTCTGTGAGTCGTGTTTATGTGGTGCCTTCCTATTGGCTGATGGGTGTGTTGATGGCTGGTGATTGGCTGTTGTTTCCTTGTGTGGCCAACCACTGGCTCCAAAGTATTTGATAAACTGGTGGTAATTCAGCACTCCTGTTA